AAATGGTCTCCGGTGCCAATGCGTTCAAGAGTGCTTCCTACTTTCTTTTCTATTAAGTTTAGTGTAACTGGATTTATGTTCAGGTCTTTGATCCACTTGGACTTGAGTTTTGTGCATGGTGACAGATATGGATCTATTTGTAATCTTTTACATATTGACATCCAGTTATGAGGCCACTTCTTATCCCGTGTTGAGGTGTGAGGGCTCTATGTTCGCCATATTCATCGCCGTGACAGATACCCAACTCAAAGAGACCAAAGATATGTTCGGCTGATGGTTTTCGTCAGTGGTCAACTTGTTTGTTCCATTGCCGTGGGCCTGTGGTGAGCCTGAGAATCATGACAGCAGGGGTGTGTGGTGGAGCAAACTTCACGACTGCTAGAGCACACTCTAGAACCTTCCTCCAGTTAGCCTACCTTTCACTCAGTAGTCCGTTCAGACCTGGAACCATGGATGATGGCGGAGCCCTCAATATCCAAGCCCTTCCCCTAAGCCCCACCTCGGGAGGCTGCTTTTCTCAGGGACTGCATTGCTTACTTTTTTCTCTTTGCTGTGACAAAATACCCAAGAGAAGCAATTTAAGGGAAGATGGCTTTATTGCTAGTCTGCATTTGAGAAGGAATACGGTTCATGAAGGAACAGGGGGATTGCTGGGTAGTGACGTCACATCTGTGGTAAGGAGGGAGGGGGATATGAACGCTGCTGCTCTGCTCATTATCTTTTGTTCCTTGTTTTATTCAGTCTGGGATCCTAGTTCATGGGGTGATGCCACCTACATTCACCGTGGCTCTTCCCTTCCTTACCACATATGGCCCAGAGCTGTGTCTCCTAAGAGACTCCAAATGTAGTCAGGTTGACAAGGTGGGCCATCACAGGACCAAGCCTACAACAGGACAAAAGCCTTTAGAGGGGGAAGTTCACATAGAAACTGTAGCAGAGTGGGCACAGCACACTGTTGAGGGGGCCCATCTCCCAGTCTTCACCTTCCTCAGTGTTCAGTCAGGCCTCTGAAGCAGGGAGCCTCTGCCGCCCTCAGCACGTGCATGGTGAGGCACGTGGCTTCTAGTCATCGAGCAGTGAGCTGCACGATTCTGTCTGTACAAGAGTGTGTGTTCGCTTTTAGTTTATCTTGACCAATTAAACTTTTAAGTAGTTTTTTTTTTCATTAGTGTACATACATGTCGTTATAGTTTGCTCTCTCTCTTTTTTTTCATGAGGTTGATTCCTATGTAGGCCAGGCTGACCTTGAGCCTGCTACCTAATCAAGGGTGACCTTGATGATTCTCTTCCACTTACCAAGTGCTGGATTATAGAGATGTGTTACCATGACCAGCTCTAATAGCAATTTTTAAAGCAAACAGTCTGGTGGGGATGCAGCCGAGTTGTAGAGCCCTTATCTAGTATGTGGGAGGCCCTGGGTTCAAATCCAGTTACTTTAGTATGGATGGATGACAGATGATATATGATATATAATAGATAGATAGATAGATAGATAGATAGATAGATAGATAGATAGATAGATAGATAGATAGATACTAGATAGAACAGGTCATTAAAAAACATTGTAACACAATACAACCCAAAGAGACATTACACTACTTTGCTACTTCCAGGATGAGGAAGGACAGTAGGATAACATTCAGAATCTGTTTTCAGTAATTAAAACTGTTTCTTTGCTTGCTTGCTTTCTTTTTTTCTTTTTTTTTTTTTTTCCAGAGACAAGGTTTCTCTGTGTAGCTTTGGAGTCTGTCCTGGATCTCGCTCTGTAGACCAGGCTGGCCTCGAACTCACAGAGCTCCGACTGGCTCTGCCTCCCGAGTGCCGGAACTAAAGGCATGTGCCACCACTGCCCAGCTTAAAACTGTTTCTATAAGTGCAGAAAACTTTGTATGTACACACAGAAAAACACTGCAACTCATAACATACACGTCCCTAGTCAGGTATTTGTGCTGTATGATGTAACATAACACACGGTGCAAAATGCACATGCTGTGTGTTCAGAACCAAGGCTGCAGTGAAGTTGTGGGGTGTAACAAAGGGCCCGCACTGCCAGAGACAGCTCACACTCATTACACGTTTGATTGTGAGTTGGTTTGTGGCCACCACACATTCAGAAATCCTTTACTTTTGCTAAATTCTTCATGACCTCCACATTCAGTTACATGACCTCAAATGGAGTTGTGACCCACAGTTTAAGAATCTGTACTCAAGCCAGGCGGTGGTGGCACATGCCTTTAATTCCAGCACTCAGGAGGCAGAGGCCAGTGGCTCTGAGTTTGAGGCCAGCCTGGTCTGCAGAGTGAGTTCCAGGATGGCCAGGACTACCCAGAGAAACCCTGTCTCAAAAAACAAATAAACAAAAACAGAATCTGTACTCTGGGAAAATCACTATTACCCGAGGTGGGAGGGGGCACTCCAGTTCCTGTCAGGATAGAATCATACCAATCTTGATTCCCACCATGGGTTAATTGCTTCAATTTGGAGAGCAGCCTTGGTTGCTGCAAAGGCTCCCTGTCCTTGGAATAACTATCTTACTCTTCGTGTCCTTAGCTTTGAAGCGGGACAAGAGAGATGAGGTGGATTGCATTGCCAGCTTTTCCACAGACACCCCTTCAATGGTTAAGGTGTCTGTGTGCAGAGTTAAACAGGAATCTGCACAGAAGAGGGAAGATGCAGTATGAAGGCAGGCATGCCCAACTTCACCATTTTCAGCCATCTGTCATCCATTGGCCCAAGCGAGGAGTGAAGGCCTGTGGGGAAGCAGCCTCCAAGTCTCCCTTCCCGCAGGGATGCCTCTGATTCTGCTGGTAGGACTTAGCTCCATTCTGTTCCATCAGCTGATCTCTCTTCTATTTAGCAGTGACCTTGATGGAGACAGATACTTGCCGGCCCTTGGCTAATGCATGGCAGCAGTGGTTTTGTTTGTTTTGTAACTTCAGTCATTTGTTGAGATTCTATATGTCAGCTGCTGGGGACCCAAAGTTAGTCAGATGCATTCCCACCCTTAAGGGTAGACCTTCCCACTCACTGGAGAAAAAGACTTTTTGGCTCAGGACAGCAGTTTCATCATAAACATGAACAGGAAGGCGATTGATATTTTCTTCTTATTCATAGCAGGAATGATGTAATGAAGAAGGAACTTCACTGTGTCAGCCTCTTTTAATAGAACTTGAGAATTTTCAGACTGGTTAAGGATGCTGGCTCTACACCAACCCAGACCTTGGTTGGTTCTTCTGAAAAGTCAGATAAGATTACTGATGTCATGGATGGATGGTGGTTGTGGTTTGGAGGTATGCATTAGTTTCTTTGAAAAGAGTTCTGACAGCCAGGTGGTGGTGGTACACACCTTTAATCCCAGCACTCAGGAGGCAGAGGCAGGCAGATCTCTGAGTTCGAGGCCAGCCTGGTCTACAGAGTGAAATCCAGAACAGCTAGAGCTACATAGAGAAACCCTGTCTCAAAAACAAAACAAAACAAAACAAAACAAACAAAGAAGTGTCTGACTGCAGTCTGACTCACAAAGCTGGGCCACTTTTAAACTTTTTAATTATTCATTTGCTGAATAAAAACTTAACAGTGGTAATAGCTGCACAAATCTATGGATCTACTAAAAACCCATGTGTTCACCCTTTAAGAGGTGAACATGGCATGTGGATTATATCTCCTGATGCTGTTAGCAAAAGTGCATTAACTGAGCAGACACAATGGCCAGCAGGTAAAAGATGCTCTCCACATAAGCCTTTAGACCTGAGTTCAATCCCTGGAACCCACGTCAAAGTGGAAGGAGAGAAACCGACTCTACAGAGTTGTCCTCTGACCTCTACATCCACTCTACAGCATGCACGCCTGTGCACACATAATAATAAATCTCTTATTTATTATTTTATTCTATTTGGGTTTTTTTTTTTAAAAAAAAAACAACTTATGTTTTACGTGCATTGGTGTTTTGCCTGCATGTATGTCTGTGTGAGGGTTTGGATCCCCTGGAACTGGAGTTAGACAGTTGTGAGCTGCAATGTGGGTGCTGGAAATTGAACCCAGGTCCTATGGAAGAGCAGTCAGTGCTCTTAACCACTGAGCCACCTCTCCAGCCCCCTTATTTGTTGTTGGTTTATTTGTTTTGTTTTTTGTTTTTGTTTGTTTGTTTATTTATTTGAGACAGGATTTCTCTGTATAGTCTTGGCTGTTCTGGAACTCATTCTGTAGACCAGACTGGCCTCAAACTCATAGAGATTTACCTGCCTGCCTTCTGAGTACTGGAATTAATGGTTTGTGCCACCATGTTCAGCTATAAATAGTTTTTTTTTAATGTACTGATTTTTTTTTTGTTACAAAAAAAATTTTAAGTCCTAACCTAAAATAATTCCTCCCTTCTCTTTTAAAAACTACACCAAATCCTTCTACTATGGTGTTATTTTATATGCAAACTGTATTACTATATACAAATTATTTTTTAACTTTCTTTTAAAAATAATATTTTAAAAGCCCCCCCCCCCACACACACACTTATTTATTCATTCAGCAGGAGTGTGGCAAGTGCCACATCACACACGTGGAGGTCAAAAGACAGCTTACAGGGGTTATTTCTGGGTTCTAGAGTGGGATATCAGATCCCTTAGAGACAGTTGTGAGCTGCCATGGGGGTACTGGCATTGAGTGCAGGTCCTCTGAAGGAACAGCCAGTGTTCTTAACCACTGAGTCTTTGCTTTAGCCCATTTTCTTAATTTTCAATGGTTAAAAATCACAGCTTCCTATTGCAACCTAGAGATCAAGTTAAAAAAAAGTCACCCACCCGTTACCACCACCAAAGATTAGTGCCCAGTTTTGTTCCAATGGTAAAGGAGAATCCTGTCCCAGCTTGAATGTCTGGCTAAGTCTGAAAATCGTGAACACATCAGTTAATGCTGTAGGAGCACAAGGCTGATGTTTTCCATTTACTTCTACCGTATTGGAGGCACAGTTAGCCTTAGCCTCTGCTTCCATGAGCCTCTGCTGTTGGCTTTCCTCCAGGGTTTCCTTTCACTGACATCTGGTACCCAGAAGGGAAAAGCTACTTCCCCTGGACCAGTGAAATTGCTGTCAGGAAAAAGTACTCAGGTTTCGAGGGCGGCTGTGAATGAGATGTTCTTCTGAGCATCCAGGGCTCCCGAGGACAGAACAGAAAGGTGATAGGCACTATCATCCTTCTTTCCCTAAGATGAACCTGAGCAGGCCTTCCTCCTTCCAGGTGCCCAGACAGGACACCAGGGCTTCTTCTAGCAGCTGGCTGGCATTACCTCATCGGCTGGCATTACATCATCGATGTTTAATGAACAGGTCTGCTGCCCCTGGGGGCTGGTGTGGGAGCACAAGGTATAATGGACTCTCATTTGCTGTGCATCAGTGGGTTCAGAAGTCTCCCGAAAATAAGGTCTGAAAAATGAGAGATGGTCAAATAGGACCAGAACTCAGGATATCCCGTGTAAATAAAGCCGGTGCGCTGTCAAGCTGCTCTGACCGGACTGATAGGAACCATAGCAGTTTTGCACTGTGGCGATGGAGAGGACTTTTAACTCATGCCCATTTCTTGTGAATAGGAGCAAAGTCAGTTGTGAATAGCTTTTGATTTCCTCCTTTCCCGTCTCTTCCTACTGCTGAGCTGTGCAATTGAGTTCTGAAAGCAGAAGCGTGGAGGGTTGCTGAGGGAGGGAAAGAGGAGTGAGGGCTGAGAGGATAATTTAAATCCCACTTGTATATATGTGTATATACATACAGAGGACATGTAGAACATGTGTGTGTTTATACAGTGGTGTTGGTGGTCAGACTCAGGGCCTGTGCAAGCTAGGCAAGCACTTTAGCACTGTGTGATGCCCAGCCATATCTATCTATCTATCTATCTATCTATCTATCTATCTATCTATCTATCTATCTATCTATCTATCTATCTATCTACACACACACACACACACACACACACACACACACACATATATATATATTAGTCTTATGTACTTCATTTGGAAAGATACTGAGAGGAGGGTGAGGAGACGGCCTGGCAGTTAAGAGCAATGGGTGCTCTTCTAGAGTACCTGGGTTCGATTCTCAGCATCT